GCAAACTTTACACTTTGTGCTACTATTGTGCTGCACAAATACTTCATGTTTAAATTTTGTGTCTGCAAATTTAGTTTTACTGTTAGATTCAGAAATGTCCTCATCGGATAGTCAAGACTGCGGTAACGCTGGAGTCACTTAATGGACCTTTTATTCTGAAAAATGAATAGATAAAAAACAGAGGGCATATTTGCGAGCCACGCTGGTGCTCCCAGTTGTTAAATTTGGCAGCACCGTCTCCAATAACAGCCACAACATGCAAAGAAATGGCCGCGGCATTGTTTTAAGAGCATGTGTGTGGCGCTCACGTATGACTGTACCGCCGTCACCGATGTGCTTCACTACAATGCATATTCATGAATGTAAATGCGGAGGGCAGATCTCACAGTCCAATCATTCCAGTTATTCATAGTTCTGAGTAGCCCATCATCTGCATGCATTATTACCAGGCTAAGTTAAATGCCAAACCAGGACCCACCTGACCCCCATTGACTCGATACTTCAGCTACTCTGCATTCATTACTCCAAAGCTCGACATAATCTTCTGTAACCAGCCTCCTTATGCGCCTCCTGAGGGGGAAGAAAAAAAAACCTGCAGGTGATTAGATATTTACACGAGTCACTGCAACTTCACAGAGTGCTTGTAAAAGCTGTGATTTGTGAAAGGTCAAAGCTTTAAGTAGTAGAAATATAAAATTACAGATAATAGATGATGCAGATTTAGGGCTTTGAACTGACACAGTTTCATGGTGCATCACTGAGAAAAGCAGAAACACTTCACCTGGTGTTTTACTAAAACATGTGTTCTTACTGGCCTGTATCTTGCTGTCTTTGCCTAGTTTGGGAGAACGGAAGTGATTGACAACACGCTAAACCCGGACTTTGTGCGGAAATTTATTTTGGACTACTTCTTCGAAGAGCGGCAGAACCTCAGATTTGACTTGTAAGTAAGATCCACGTGTGTTACATTGATGTTATCTGAATGTTTGTTAAAGAATCAGTGTTAAAGACATCCTCTTTCACAATTTAAGATTCTAAAATATGGATTCCACGAGAACTTTGAAAGCTTTTCCAGCAAATTGAGAGATTATTAGTTTATAATTCCTAGAACCCAACTGATAATGGATTTTTGGGACTTTCTGATACACAAAACTATGATGTTAATACATTGACTTTTTGCGTATATGTTGGCGTCAGATTGAAATTAGAACATGTTTTTATTAGCTATTTCAAAAACTTGCAACTAAGACACTGCTTGACTCCGCACCGCTGTCTGCTCAGCTCTGCTACATGTGCTGCAGAGTATCGGAAATAATGTGTTGTGCTGAAATTAGAAAATATTTTTATTAACTTTTCCATTATGTATTTCAAAAACCTGTTAGCAACTAAGACACTGCTTGACTCCGCACCATTGTGTCTGTTCAGCTCTGCTACATGTGCTGCAGATTATTGGAAATGATGTGTTAACTTTAATTAGAAAATGTTTTTATTAACTTTCCCATTATATATGTCAAAAGCTAGTTAGCAACAAACTGTGAAGACACCGCTCGACTCCGCACCTTCATTTGCTTAGCGTGCTCTGTTACATGTGCTACAAAATAGTGGAAATAATGTGTTAGATTGAATTAGAAAGTGCTTTTATTATTTTCCCATTCTGTATTTTAAAAACTAGCCGGCAACTTACCGTAAAAACCCTTCTTGACTGATTGTCTGCTCAGCTATGATGCTCTGCTACATGTGCTGCAGAATATTGGAAATAATGTGTTAGATTTAAATGAGAACATGTTTTTTTTTTACATTAAATTACCAATTATGTAATTCAAAAACTCGTTAGCAACACACTGTAAAGACACCGCTTGACTCCGCACCGCTGTCTGCTCTGCTACATGTGCTGCTGAGCAGTGAAAATAATGGAGCTGGAGTTTTTCTGGGAAAAAAAACACATTGATGCACATCAGTCAATATATACCGACATATCTGTGACCGGTGACTACCAGCAGATAATACCTGCTCACCTGGGCGTTGCATAGTAATTATATCATTCTATTACTACAAGTATGGCCGTTTTTATCATAGAATTAGCATGCACTAGTGATTTCTGCTCTGCTGCTATATTTTACTCTTGATTTAAGAGAAAGTAAAGTATATTGAACAACACAAGAGTCACTTGAGAGAAAACAACTGCAAGAACAACGGCTTAACGTGATGCAAACATGCAAAAAAAAACATTAGAAAATCAAGCGTAGAACGCAAGTTGTTCTCATATAGTTTGTTTTTATTTTAACTGAACCTAGCAGGGATTTACGTCACATTACGTCTGCGGTATAACCGCCGTGTCTCTGATTGCACTGGCGTTGTTTCTATATTTGCTGATAGCAGCTTTAAAAGCAGCTCTGGGTGAGGGGTATTTTTGCCGCTTGTATTTGGCAGATCGTGGAATTGGCACCGCTGAGTACATCCTACACGTTATGCAAAAAATAAAAATAACCAAACACTTAGTTGCCGAAATTCTAATCTATACAGAGCCGTACAGTCTGAATGGTGAGCTGTGAGGGTTTCTAAGGGCTGTTTGACGCCATGTGAGGGAGTATTTATTTGTTATCTCGTTACGTATTTGTTTGCACTGAGGCTAAAAATTCTCTTTATTAATAGTCGTGGTTGATACGCTTTGGAAAACTATTGATCCATCCCTGTTGCCACATTAAGTTCATGGATTCAGATTGATCGTGCTGCTGATTTATTGATGTATTGGCCACATCATGATATAATCTCACACCTCATTTGTGTTCCTTTGCATGGATCTGGTCTTTAGACTTATTAAGCCACCAGGCTGCTTCTAGCTGAGGTGATTCTCTTCCTCACTTCCTACTCAAATTTCTCAGAGTGGCTTTAGTTTATAAAATGGAGATTAATTGTAATACAATCAAGGGAACCACGACGACCACGACGACAACCTGACTGGGATCTGAAAGTTAGAGTGTGTGCAGAGGAATTAGTGTGTCTGCATGGAAGTGTGTTTGTGTGTGATAAAAGGAGAAAGAGATGGAAGGTGTGTGTGTGAGGGTGAAGATATGAATTTGAGCACTGGAAAATAAATATGCAAATAAAAATAGAAAGTGCCCCTATTTTAGGTCTGGGTGAAACAACCTTCCGACGGGACTCCGTTGAACGCCGGAAACACAGCGAAAATGCACAAAATAACCTTCAATGGCTTTCAAAACAAGGAAAAGTGCACAAACGTATTGCATTATAACTGTGTCATACTGCACAGAGTACATATTTTGGTTCTCTGTACTTGCAGTCGTTGTTGTGCTGTTTCCATAGAGGTGCAGGACTTTATATTGCAGTGAAAAATGAGCCCACAGTGAGTAAAAATAGAACAGAAACGCCCAGAAGATGCTTTAAGGGAGTTCGTAGTAGGGGGTGAAAAAATTTAAATGAATGATGTCCTGTTTTTGTACCGGTTTCCACGTTGAGGCCTCGTCGGTGGATCATCGTGTGTTTTCATGAAGCTTCCCGGTTTGTGTGAGTCGTTCAGTGTCTCAGCTGGTCGATCTGTCACAACACATGCTGGTATTTACAGTCGACGTGTCACCGGGTCGCGCGTCGACGGACCCGTTGTACGGGAAAACCGGCGCATGCGTGTGCATTCCCACGTACTGCGTGTGACCATGGCGACGGTGCACATCCGTGCACGCGGTTTCAAACGTGTAGCCATAACAACCGGGGCTTCTGCGGGATGGCGGGCGCGATATAGGACCGGACAGGCTTCCTTCAGGGAAAGAGAAGCGCTTAACCTTCCATTTCTACTCGGTTTGCTTCACTTGTGTACATTTTCACACGTAAACTGACGTGTGAAGAACGGTTACAAGTTTCTGAGTTGTGGGTTTTGCTGTTTTTGTACAATAAAAATCCACAGTTTGGGGTTTTCAGATGCGTTTTGTAGCTGATTTGGTGCTTCGTTTTGCCTCTGATTAACTTCTAGTTGCTGTTATAGTTGAAAAATCGCCCTCATATGGAAGCTAGAGCAGCTTTCTCATTAGTGCAGGTATATATGGAAGCTTCTTTTTGAATCTTTGTGTTTGAGTGTGCACCACACAAACAAAACCTGTGTAACTCCTTCCATCTAAAGCCACACGTTCTGCTTGCATTTGGACACTGTTACGCTCAGGATAAGCGAGTTTGTTTGTGTTGCTTCCCGTCTGTTTAGGCGACTATAAGCGAACAAACGCGTGATCCTGCGCTCGCTCTGCTCCTGAGTGGTTTCCTGAATGGAGCCCAGCATTCTGAGGAACAAGCAGCGCTCTGGCTTTTTGTGGGTCCGCGACCGTGCGTTGCCGTTGTTGTCGGTCGTCATTCAGCGTGTGCATCCATGCGTGAGGAACGCGGCCGCGCCTTTGTCTGCGTGCGTGCGTTCGCTTGCAGTTCGCTGCTCGTTTCGGCTGCAGATGGTCGCCGCTGCAGAGGGAAACTGGTAGCAGAGGAATGAATGCTTCCTCCATCAGGCCTGTGAAGAGGAGATCTGGATGAAAACAAAACAGTAGCAGAGCGAGATATAAAAAAATAAATAAAATACAGTAAGTCCACTGAATATGGGACTGCTCTGTGTTTAATAGCTCAGTTTCAGTGCAGCAAAGATGACAGAAAAAAGTTCCGAACTGTTCCTTTTTTTGTTTTGTTTTGGGTTTTTTTCTTTAAAATTTGAAGTATTTAATTTCTTGTTGTACCAATTCATGCAGTCAAAAGCTTCATACTGTCAGTAAGAAAAGATTTGAAGCTTCTTAAGTCAAGTGCACCATAATCAAAATCAAAACAACCCTCTTGAACTCAGCACACTGTTCATTTGCTCCTTTGTCACATTTTTCCTCCCTGTGGGCTCATTTTTCACTGCAATATAAAGTCCTGTACCTCTATAGAAACAACCCAAACATGGCTGGAAGTAAAGAACTATAAATTATTTTAGTGACTTTATCCATTATAATTATTATTATTATTTTCAAATGTAGTGGTCACAGGTGTTACCAAACTTAAAGAAAAATGGCAACTCTACACGACAGATATTTTACTACTTCGTTTTTATTTGTTTCCATATTACATATACAGGAAGGACAACAAAGTGGCTGCGTAGCTCCATCGGCAGGAAGATTCTCCGTAAAGGTGGAACTTCTTCACGCTTCAGTGGAAAACAAATAATTCTGGTTGATATTTTCTTGATTAAATAATGAAGATTGTCTACTAGTTGTATATTTGTCACCAGCACTGGGGTAGACTGCTTGAATGCAACTTAACTTTCCATATCTGCTCTGCATCAACACAAGTCCCTGAATTTTAGTCAGGTGACTGTTGATCGCATTGGAGTCACAAATGGAATCTTTTTTGTGCTAATGTGTGCAGAATTTTTTGTGTTTTACAGATTTTATTTCGAGGACACACTTTATTTTCGGCAATTTTTTAAATGAGACACATTGGCTGAAATGATTTTATGAAAAAAATCACGATTTTAAGCGAAGATGTTGACAATTTTATGAAACCAAGTGGTGCGTTCTTTCAGTTTTCTGCATTTCTAGCTGATAAATGGTGTAACTTGGATTTTTTCATTTTAGATAACGAGCCTTTCATACCCGCTAGTGTTTTTTTGTTGTTGTTGTTTTCTTTCAAGGGTTAACGCAGCGGTCTAATGGGGATTGACTTGTTGTTGCAGCCATTTGAGGAACTGCACTTTAACGTTGCCTTCGTTCGTCAGTGTATTGGCAAAGATGAAGGACAACATGTGATGCAGCGCTAAAACGTTGCGAGAGGAAGTTGCTTCGTTAAGTGTAAATGTGTTGAAGTAAATGGCTTCTGACAGGAATTAATGTCATACGGAAGCAAGTGTCACATGCGGAATAGTTCAGGATAAATACACCT